AACAATAATAATTATATAATTTTTTTTTTAGATTTTATATATACAGTTGAATAACCAAAAAATTATAAATTACTATATCAGTACAACAGAATTCCACTACAATTTATCAAACTTAGTAACTAAGCTGTATTTTGGTCTAAAAAAATATAAAATTTTGAACAGACTAAAGACACAACCTACCTCCTTAAAATTTTGGTTCAAAAGAACTAGATGGCATCCTAACACTTTAAGATGGCAAAGAGAGCCACTAGGAGGACATTCTGAGCTTTTGATTGGTTATTCACATGTCATATATTGAAGTAAGTGTATATAAGGGACCATTTCCAAAAATGGAAAGAGGTGAGTGGGGCCACTGTGTTTGATTCAGTCAATGAGCAATATCTTAGCAAATAGAAAAGATATGAGGTTCTTATTTTATATTCTAGCTTGTCAGTATCGTTAATTTGAGTTCCTAATTCGTACAAAACTATAGACTTAGTATTTTGACATCACAAACATCTAATTTGAACCAGTGCTGCATTAAACGTACCATGTGATATTCAAAAATCAATGTTTAACTGTGTTTTTCAATATTACTTTTAAATTAAGAACTTGAATAATGTATAATATTAAAATTTGAATTATAATCTACAGTTTGATACAAAACTTATTGACATAAATTCCTGAAATAGTAGTTCAATAAACCTTTGATTCGTGACCCATCTGGAAATGGTCAACATTCATGCTGTTCACATCATGTGATTCTTAAGCTCATGTTACTTATGAAGTTCTGAAGCTAATATTTCAGTGAAAACTTCACTTTCACTCAATTATTTTACTGCTTCAATCAATGATTGTAATCCTTCGTATGCCAAAGACGTCTTTTGTTTTGGAGATGATAGTGTCTCTTTATGAGGCAATTCCCGTAGGTTTTGCACACAAAAAAGTGGGATCTTGCCTTTCCTCAGACCTACTGTCTCAGAGAATTTCTCCATATTTTTATATTCTCAGCTCTTTGAATGTGGCTCAATCAAGAGTTTACCACTAGCTTCCTCTTTCTTTGTCCTCCTCCAGATCTGCATCTTTTCACAGCTGCCTCTCATAAAGGCTGAGGTGCTGTAATGAAGAATGTTGTCTTTTCAGTCTCTAGTCTCTTCAGTAATCTTTCTCAGATCAGTTTTTTGGAGAATTTGGCTTGATCAACATCCATGTCAGAAGTTCCCTTGATACAACACTGGTGTGTTTTACTTCACAAAAGCAATTCTACTGTGGTGCCATATATCAACAAATAGATTTGAATTGGATCTCACAATTTTTGTTTTCCAGAGTTCATTGGTTTCTTCCAACACTGTAGTCTATTCAATATTTCAGTAGTTATGCTATTGAGTTGGTCATCTTATAATTGTCTGAAATGGAATACCTATCATCAAAAGATGTCAAGTCTAACTAGAATGACGATCATCTACTTTTTTCATTCTGTCCTCTAGTTGTTAGCTCCCATCCTTGAGATGTCTTGAGTGTTTATTTGTTTTTTTTTCTCAGTGCCTCTTAATTTGACCAGTTTTATGACTCACTGGCTTTTTTAGTTGTAGATGAAGAGGGGCTACAACCCCTTGAGTATATCCACTCGTATATTTTTCTCGGATGCTCCCTTGTGAATCTTTCACTACAAGAGCATGACATAGTATTCCATCTACCTGTGTTCTCTGTTTTGGCTCCAGAACTACAATAAATCATTACTGCCTTCAGTAACCCATTTTTATGTGTGAATTGAAGGGTGTCAAGACAAAGAAGTACCCTTCTGAGAAGATTGCCTTCTTTATGTTCTTAGAATTAGTAGTTCTAAAAGACTAGTCTGCTTCACTCATTCTCCTTCATTCTTTCTGATTTTATATTTTAACCTGGTTCTACTTGACAACATCTTTATTGTAGTGTAGAATATTATCTTCCTGTCCTCTAACTTTTTAACTTTAAATTTTTCTATATAATTTTTACTCATGCAAGTTTCCACCTACTTTTCAATATGGATAGTTCAGCTTACAGCATTTCAGAGGTAAGTTTGCTTCTGAACCATTTAGGAAAAGAATTTGGACACAAATATAAACATTCATTAGGAAACGTGCCTTTACAGCTAGATTACTTGAACTAGCAAACTCATCCCAAACTTCCTTAACATTATTATTCTTAACATTGTTTAATGCAAACTGGAGTTTATTATGAGACATTTCTATAAATATAGATAAATTTATGACTATCTCCAGGATGTAACTTTATTAGCTCAATATTTTGCTGTCACAGCTTCCTCAGGAGCTATTGATATCCTACAAGTTCCCTAATCCAGTTAAATCTAAATTGGAACACTGTCATTTGTAAATAGAACATTGATATACGTGTTTAGAAAGTTCATATTATATAAAAATAATATCAAACATTCTTGAATTTATATTAAGACAAGTGAAATCAGTAATGCTAAATAAATGAAATGTGTAAACCAATAAGTAAATTATTAACATCGTTCGATTTAGAATAGAATATGTTACTTATCTAAAACATTTATTCATATTTATATTGGTAAGTATTTTTTCATTTTATTATATCAATACATACATAAAACAGTGTCTGAACATATATTTCAATCCTTATAAATGTGTATAGAAAGTTTGTCAAAGTTCAGCATATTAAAGTCTTTAAAATGTCATTAAGGTCTCTACACTAATGGCCAACCTTAACATTCTTCCCATTCTTCTGTGACTACTCTTATCAATTGTTTGCTTATTTTCATAGAAGCTCTTGCACAGCTATTTTTATACCATATTTTTCTCAGTATTAAAAACAAGGTCTAACATTACATTTGCCAGAATGCATGGAATCTATCTTAACCCAAAGAAATTCTTCAGCCTTTTGTAGTGGATCTAATCTAACTCAATTTTTTTTAATTTAAAGTTTCTCATAATAATAATAAGCCTTTTTGTTCAGGCAACATAACTAATCTGTCTGTTTGTAGAAAATGTTAATAATATTTTTCCTCCTTTTAAAAACCCAAATTAAACATGTTTTCCAACCACAGCAGTGTCACTTTTTTTGTAAGCCTTTAACTCACTTATTCACTTCTAATAAATACATTTACCCTTCTTCTAAATTAACATTGTCATTTTAAAGTAATCAAAAATAACTTCTTTATAATTTCATTTAAATAACTAACTGTCATTAAAGCTTTCTAGATTGAGCATCGTACAGTATTTCAAAGACTTCTGGTATTTGTATGAAACATTGTAGCTTGTGAAGTCTAATTGAAGCTAATATAATTTTTGATCATATCATTTTTAAGTATTTATATAGTCTTTATGTTGTAAGAAACAAATAGTTTGCAGTAATATGTATATAAAAAAAAAGATATTTCTTTTAGAAACAATTATATCTTTTAGTACTTGTCTGCATTTTGTTTTAGCAAAGCTTCATTACTTTGCATAATTAGTACTACAGTAACTTATAATATTAGCTAAAAGATATATCTACATTAGTTAGAAGACATATTTTTAAAAGCACATATTCAGTGAGTAGTAATGGAACTTGAAGTTGCAAGTAGAGAGTATCGGACATGAAAAGTTGATGTTGCATGTTCTGTAGTTGTGGATTTTAGCAGTGTATTTCAAAATTAGAGTAGCTAAATCTATCAAAAAGTTATTTTTATTGAAGATATTTGTCAGTGTGCATAGAATCATTATACTGTAGTAGGAGTTTTTCTAGTGCAGCTTATTTCAAACTGTTTTAACTTAAAAGTTGCAAATGTTTCACTATGAAAGTTTGTACATTGTTTAAAGTAACTTTTAAATTAAAGTGAGATTCTGTAATGCATAGTTCTTAACCTTTCACAGTAGATGATGTTTAGTGTGTGTGAGTATAAAACATTAATTATCTGAGAAAATTTGTACAAATATGTTCATGAAAGAAAATTAATGATAAACAAATTTGATTATTTTGGAATATTACAATACGTGTACGCAAAGTCATCTGAAAATTATATATCATTGTAACATATTAAAATAGTAAACTATTTATATAAAATTGATATTGACACAATTATTACATGCATAAGTTAGACGAATTGAGAAAATATCAAATTCACATGGATTTACTATATATGAATAGTTTTAGGCTTTTCTTTCCAATATGTTTTACATGTAATTGACATTTTTATTTTATGTCACTAAAGTTTCTGAATTGTAGTACAATACTGAAATATTCACAGGGATCCAGTCTTTGACAAAAATATAAAATTATGACAAGTTCAAATCACTGGCATGTTGACAGTATTGATGATGCACTTGCTGCTGACTTTGATGGAAGTCTGTCAGGTTTGGGAATGGAGCTAGGGACTGGCTCTTTCAACATGAGGTAAGAATATTAGTGACAAATCAAACAGTAAAAGTTGGTATATTTAATTATGTGGTTAGTTTTTTATAAAAAAATAATTTATGTTTAAATTGGAAATGTGAGGAGGGTGTTCAGTAAGTAGTAATGGAAAGTGTAGTTGGCAAGTATAGAGTAACAGAACCAAATTTTATTACCTGCTTGCAGGCATAGTTGCTGTTGTATTGTTTTGTAGGTGGCAGTTTTAGCATGATACTAAAAAAAATTACAGTAGTTAAATCTTTTATAAATAAGATGAGCAATTGCAAAATAAAAGCTGCAGTTTGAGAAAATTTACTGAAGAGTCATGATAATAATATTAGATCTTATCTCAATCTCAAACACTGTTTAACATAAAAGTTCCATATGGAAATGTGTATGAAATAAGGATTAATTGAAAAATCTACAAAGGAATTTTGCAAAATAAAAGCTTCACAAAAATTAATAATAATGGTTTTGACTAGAACACAAAAATATACCTTCTTAATCAAAATCTTAATTATTGTGTAATTGTTTTAGCCATATGTATCCTCTATAATTTCATTTTATTTATATAAAGGAAAATATACACTTAAGAATAGCAATGAATAAACCAGCATTAACTAATTTTACTTGCTTGAAGGGCTATTTCAGTGTATCCAAAATTAAATGTGGGTTTAAAAAGCCTTTGTTTCAAAACAAAAGAAAGAACAGGCTGACCATAGGCCCTTCATCTCATTAACATGAGAATCTCCAAGGTTGTCAATTTGACCGATTTCACTTTTTGAATTCAGATATCTTTGTGTTGAAAGATACCCTGTAGTCCTATCATGATTTCATCTAAATACCCTGTTGTTGTTTCAAAGGCATAATCATAAAATTAAAAATGTTATAATCACTTATCTAGAAACATCAAAGATGTGTCATCTTGACTTCTGTTTAAAATAAATGCATTTATTTATAACAACATACAACTTGTTTGTTTGTTTTTTTGTATTGCAAGTAGCGTGCAGTTTCAGTATAGATGTCTGTTGTTATTTCTATCTCCAATTGAGCTCCCAGCTCTTTGATTACATTAGTATTTGATTATATTTTGGCCCTTGAAGTCTCAAAAACAGATGTCTGTTTGTTGATTGAGGTGAATGAATTTTAGCATAGTCTATCTTTTAATCCTAGCAATTCTTGTGAGAAGTAGTATCTGCTTGTCTGTTGATTTGAGTATATGTAGTATCAAAGAAACTTACAGGCTCAAAAATGGTTCAAAGATGACAAATGTCTGTTCAGCAAGTGATAGAGATGCTCACAACTTTGTCAGAAAATTATTCTGATGCAAGAAATATGAGCAGACATGAAAGCAATGACTCCTGGATTTGTGAAATGGAAAGTCCTGCAAATGAAAGTGAGGAAAGTGCCACTACCACCATCTCTAGATGCAGAAGAAACTGTGTACAGTACTGCACTGGTCAAAAGTTTGAGTCTAAATACATTTTTTCTCTATTCCTATAATATGTAAATTCAATAAAAGATTCTTAATTTTATTCAATGCAAACTGTAATTTATTACAAGACACATATATTAATGTAAATAGAATAATGACCTATATCTGCAGAATGTATTTTGATCAGCTTAATATTTTGCAATTAGAGCTTTTCAGGAGCTATTGATATCCTACAAGCTCACTAATTCAATTGAAACTAACATCATCAGTTAATTGAATATATGAAACATGTCTAAACGGTTTGGATCATTTTAAAAGTAATATCAAACAATCTTGAATTGAAATTGCTAAAACAAATCAGACCAACAATGATAAATAAATGTGTAAAGCAACAGGTGAACTATTAAAATCATGGAATTTAGAATAGGATACATTACATTTCTGAAATAGATCTTCATATTGGTATCTATAAATATGTTTACAGATATCTGTATTATTCTATCGTATTACATTAATACATACATAAAACAGTATTGAGAAATATCTTTTAGCCATTATGAATGTGTATAGTGGCTTCATCAAAAGTCAAACATGGAAATCTTAAAGAGTGCAATTAATATATCTATACTAGAGGCCAACCTTTATATTTGTTCATCTTAAGTTTACTTTTCTTCACTAAAATGGATTCTTTATTCTTACAGTAAAGGAAACTATGACATTTAGATAACATCTTGATATCCAATAAGATATCTGCTTATGGTGTCTTGTGCTCTTTTCATTGCTCAGCAATAGTCTTGTTATGTTATTGTATGTCATGTTCAGATGTTCTATCATGCATGGGTCAGCATGTTTCTCCTGTATATATAATAGAGCATCAGATGCAAATTACTTTATAAACAACTGTACACTTATTTTTATTCATTGTGTTTCTTGTATGTTGAACTTATTATTAAATATTTAAGGGAGATGCTTGGCTCTTGTACTATTTTAACAGGGTAGTCTAATGTTCTAATCATTCTCTTCAGTTTTGTGGTGATATTACATGTGTTATCACCCAAGTAACATGAACTTTTAATGTGCATTCCTTATTTCATTATTATTCTCATTTATTACCTCACAATGTTTGAGCATAAAAGGTCCCAAGATTTTTTCAGCAGGTTTACAGCTGGGCTTGTAGAATGTCACAATACACCACAATTGTTGCAGAGTAAGTTAATTGGCTTTTCTCTGGCCACAGAAGCACTTATTGCCACAAATTTTCAATTGGACTGGAATCTGATTTCTGATTGGGCCATTTAATAACTTTGATATTGCAGCATCTTTGTTTTGCTCCAAATTCCTTTTATTAATTACAGCATTGTGCTTTGGGTCACTGTCTTGTTGAAATTCAAATCTCTGGTTAGTTAGATGGAAACCACTTGGCAAGATGTGGCAAATGAAGGTGTTTTGAGACTGTTCTTTCTTCATATGCATTTCTTTGATTTTCGCCATATCTCGAACTAAAAGCTGAAAGTATCCCCCCTAACCATTATTGAGCCTCTGCCATGTTTTCAACATCTTATTTACACACTATTGTTTTAATTTCTCATGGCTGCATATTTTTACAAAAACTCTCCTTTAGAAATTTCAAAAAGGAATTTTTTGTCTCATCAGTTCAGTTTTGGTGTTTCTTTGCAGAAACCAACTTTTTTGATATTTTTTTACTTCTTGACTTCTACTTTCTCTCTAAAACACACTCAAGTGGTTCTGGAATTAACATAAGTGCTATGTTTCATATTAAACTTGCAAAATGTTTTTGACTAATTTACAGTTTAGGCTACATGACAGCTAATTTCTAATAACAGTACTACTTTAGAGAAGTAAATTTTTCTGTTTAATGTTTTCATTCAGGTCTAATTATTTTTTCTTAGATTATAGTTTTTTTAATATTTGATAGGGACTTAGTATTTAGGCCTAGCCTATGTAGCTGAAATCATTGCAAAATTATGCAATTTTTTGGAAACTTCAAACATGAAACTGAATTATGATTGGTTGCAGAGTAAGAGGGTGTATTAAAGAAAAGTCTAGAAAAGGGGTAGTCACCTCAAGTGGATGGGATACTGAGCATTTTGCAACAAATCTCACAGGATATCACAAACTCGGAGGGGACAAAGCAACACTATCTGAGATGATCTCTGTCTTAAAAAAAGATGCAGCATAATGAAAATCTTTTAGAGCAATCACTCTTGTCGGTAGCTTAAACATGTAGATGACATTTTTCAACTGCTAAGACTACTACATTTATCTTGTCAATTGCTAGCCTAAATATTAGGCCCAAAGTACAAAGGTCAGGGAAAAGAACAAAAAAAAACTAACAAACAATAGACCAAACAACTAAACTTGTTACAGTGCACAATAATCTCCATCTCTTCCATGGTAATGGTCTGGATAGTGATAACTGATTATGAACAGCATTGAATGAGAGTGAAAAGTGAAGCCTGATGGACATAACTTCAAGCACTAATGTGAACCAGCAAAAATCAGAAAGAAGTTAGTGGAAATGTTTGACTAAGTGAGGAAGAAGTCACTGAGAACAGATTTGTAGAAACACTAAAAAAGTAGTAGTGGTTCAGTGACTTATGGATTTTAAAGGTTTTTTTAAAGATGAAAATGAAACTAATACTAATAGATCATATGAGATTCAAATAGTGCATGACTTAGGATGTTAACTTTTAAAAGCAAACCATGCAGTACTAACTTTCTTGTACATTTTCTCATTAACTCCTTTTGATAATTATTGTATAAAGCATTTAATACAAGTACTGTAATACAGGATGATTATAAAGAATTTTGCAGTTCAGCACATTATACCTCACAATCAGTGTGGTATAGGAAAGTCAAATTGCACAGTAGTATTAAAAATATCATGCGAATGCAAATTTTACAGTTATCACACGTTGTCATCAAGGGGGCCACTGTAGCCTAGTATCTGTTCAAAATGTGCTCCTAAAGCATCCAGAATGCCTTGCATTTTATCTGGTATGCTGGCCACTACCTGGACAATAGCATCATTGAGGTCTGGTATTGTGTGAGTGAGGATTTACATTGTACACATGTGACTTCAGAAATCATTTTGTGTTAGGTCCAATGAATGAAATTACCATTCACAAGAAAAGTGACATGAAATATTCTGACCTGAAAGTGCTCCTGTAAAACATATTTCACATAGTTAACAATATGTTGAGGGACACCATCGTGAATGCAAATGATAATGTGTTATCATATTTCATTGCTGCAGCATGGGAATTACATTGGTTGTGAGCATTGCATGGTACTGTGTAGGTTACCAGTCCATGTGCTGATGGTCCTTAAAAACAAATATGTCCAATAACAGTCAGCTGTGAAACAACAACCATCACCTTAGCATTTTGAAAGTATGTAAGAAATGTTATAAGTAGATTACTTTCTGACCAAATAATGCAGTTGTGAGTGTTGACACTTCCAGAAAGGGTAAAGTGTGCTTCATCATTCCATAAGATACTAGTCATTGTCGTCAAGTCTTGTCAAGAACTGCAACACAGAATCAACA